TTAACACGATTTTCATGAAATTTAACTTCAAGTAAATCAGTTATTCCTAAATCTTGAATAATATCACATAAATCAGTATCTGTTGTCCACTAGAATAAATGAAAATAGTTTTCTACAATTCTTTCTCTTATATATTCTTCTAACATACCCAAGTAAGTTGACCAACATAGAGTGAAATACGTTTTCCACCATAATGATTTGATGATGAATTCCCACTAATTCCTAATCCATTTATGTGATCACCTTTATCAAGATTTTGATGAATTGTATTTGTTATGTCAGTAAAATCAGTTCCTGATGATTGTGTTGTAATTACATCATCGTATAGATCATTATCTTGTGAGAGAAGATGATGTTCATCATTAGCTCCGTAATCATCACCAGTTTCCTGAATGAAAAAAAGAGATTATGTATTGATTTTTTTATAAAAATAACAATGATTTCTTACGGTTTCCAATTCATTTTCTACGACATCTGCATATAAATCAATTTCTGTATCACCACCTGCACCAACACTACTGCCTGAAATAGCTACTTCTGTATCAGTCATTGTTTTTGTTGTGTAATGAGAGTAAATTTCTGAAAAAGAATCAAAGATTTTTGTTAATAAATGAATGAGTAGAAGAGATAAATATATAGATACACTTGTTGCTATTTGTCGGTTATGTTTTCTTTCTCTTGTTGCCATTTAACATGAATAGAACCTCTACATTGGCATTGTTGAATAATCAAAACTTAATATCAAACTATATGAAATAGTTTTTCAAAAATAATAAAGATCTTTTGAAAATAGATTGACATTAAATATTTACTAATATAATCTTAATAGATGTCACTAAATATCAGTCTATTTTCAGCTAATTTTTCTAGAATTTTACCAAGAAGAAAAATGATAAATGAAGAACGGGAACGTGCCGACTAGGGTGCGCGTGGGTGTTACGCCCCTGCTTGGAAAATTTTAGTTTTTTAGTCAATAAAATCAAAAATAAGGACTTTTACGTGTTTTTTGGTGCTAGACTTAAGCAAAAAGGTGTTGCACCCCCCCTGCTTTTCGAACTTGACGTACTGAGATTTTACGCCCCTGATGAAGAACTTTCTAACTGATATTATGAATGCGTTAAATTAGATTAATCTCATTTTTCGATTACTTATAATTCATTTTTTGACGTTATTTTTCTTAATACACATGTCCATTGTCGTATACAGGTCGAAGTTATATACCCATTTTTTTAAATAAACTCTCAAGTTTTTATAATAAAATCAAAACAAATTATTAATCTATCTAAAAATTTATATCTTCAGTTTCTGTTACTTTGACAAACAAACCAACATACTATACCCATAATTACTATACCTGACTTGATCATATAAATATTGCATTGATACTACACTACCTCTTGTTGTGTAATTACATCCGTAAGTATCCTATTTCAACTATAAAAAACTACACGTATAAACTTCATTGGTGTTGATCAGAATCTCTTTTGTAATACATAATTTGAGATCTGTCGCTTTTGAATAAAATATTTCTATTATAAAATTTTTTTCTCGTTCTTTTTTTTCTGTTGTTTATTGGAAAACTAAATCAATCTTATACATTTTTTTTTGTCTTACATTCAACAAACATATCATTTCTACTGAGAAAGGTTAATCAAAAGAAAAACATTTGACAGCAAGAAGCAAACAAAAAAGAAATAACATTTTTTTTTCCTCACGGGTTTCTGTACAAAAAACAAAAGAACTCTACGAGTTCAAAATACATATTTATATATATATATTTATATTCTTTTATGAACACTATTAATTTCCATTAGATGAATCTTGTTGTTGTTGTTGTTGTTCAGCTTTAATTTGTGCTTGAAGCATAAGTCCAATTTGCCATTGTTTAAGTTTTATCATATCATTTCCATTTGGTATTGTATCAGTTTTAATATTTTCAAACCATGAACGATATTTAAATACAACTGATGGATATTTTAATAATATAGATTCATAAAACCATTCAGGCGAAATATTATTCATACGATAATTATGGTTTTCATAAACTAAAACATAAAAATTTAATTTTTTTCGAAATTATGATTTGAATTCATACTTATTTCAATAGCTTTATTAATTGCATAGGTTTGAGCTTCATCAAAAGTTAAACTATTCTCTTTTGGATGATGAAGAAGACCTTCAACAATTTGTTTTTGTTCAAAATTTGATAATGGTGGATAATTTCCTTGAAGAAGATGAACGATTGGTGATGAAATTTGTTGATCAGAACGATCTGATGGTTTATAATCATATTCAATTTCATTTCCGTTTGTTTTTTCTGATCGTCGACTTTTACGTACTTGTTTTGTCGAAGGAGTATGATCTTTATTTGTAGACGAAATTTTTGTACGAGTTTTCATTGGTTGATTATCTTCTGTTGTTGAGATCTGAACAAATCGTTTTCTTCAATTAATATTTCTTTCAAAAAAAAATCAAATCTTACTGCTGAATTTGATAATGTATTTGTTTCTGATTTTGGTTTTCGTCCACGTTTCTTTTTTACTGTCTGATCATCTTCTTCCAATGTTGTTGAACCATTTTGATTGAAAGCTGCAGGTTTTCGATGTGATACGGAAGGTTTTTCAGTTGTATTTGTCTCTTCAGTTTTTACTTCAGGTATCAAAGAAGAATTTGAAGATATTGAAGAATCTCTTGCATGTTGTTTATTTTCTCCATTTTCTTCTCCTCCTTCTCCTTCTTCTTCATTTTGATTTTTCTCAACAGATGTTTTTCGACGACGTACACCTAATAATATTATTACCATGAAAAAAAACACATATTCTATTATTAAAATTATTTAATTACTATTTTTTGTTTGATTTAAAGCATCTTTTAATAGATCACTAAAATCTTCAATTCTTTCATCTTTTGTCATTGTTAATGCTCGATCGGCTAATTCAATTGCTTCATCCCTTCAAAAAATAATAATGCTAATTAAATTAAATCGAATATAAAAGATTATCTATATTACCATTGTACACGTTTTTTCATTGAAACTTTTAATTGAAATCTATTTGCTAATTCCTGTTGTTCAGATTTAGTTGCAGCCTAGAAATAAATATTTTTATTAATCTTCTAGATTATCTTTTTATTTAAAATTACTTGTTGAACAGCAGCTTCAGCATGTTGAATAAAATTACTTAATCCAGCATATGTTAATAACCAACGAGTTGATATCCATGAATACTCAAGATATTTACCATAGAAATAAACAAAAAATAATCGTTTTGGTTTATTATTTGAATCTAGAAATAGAGAACAATGAATTATATTTTCATTGATATTTTTTTTTGTTCAACATACTTAATGTTTTTGTATGAATTCCTCCTTCAGTAGTACAACGATACTAAGAAAATAAAATAAGATTATATGTTTATAATTCTATAAAACATACAATTAATGCAGGCCACCATGGAAAACCGCCTAGTTTACACCAGACAATATCACCTGGTTCATATAAATCAGCACTTGCATCAGGAGAATCAACAGAACGTAATGGTTTTGTTTTATTTTTTGTTGAATTTCGTTTAGTTAATGATGTATCCGTTTCTGTTTCATCAACGATTGGATTATCGAATATAAATTGTGGATCTTGTTTTGAACGACGCGGGCGTTTTCGAGATGGAGATTCTAAAGTATGAATAAGCAAAACTTATATATGAATTTTTAGATTTACCTGAAGATGATTGTTCAGTAGCCATTTAAAGCTAGAAAATATAATATTGTAGAGATACAGATACAATTTATGTGATTCGCTTTCTTTTCGGGAAAACGATGAACAAAGAATTTGAAGGGTTAGAAAATGATTGGTTCATTCAATTGAGCATTCAAATAATATAAATGATAGATATAGGAGGATTTTTCATTTTGTTATTATAAATGTTTTAAATCATCATCATTAAGAAATGATAAATTGGTACGTAAATCTAGTAAAATAGTTAATCATCAACTACTGCCATCTGTCGATATAAAATCTGAATTGAACTTAATAACTATAAAATCTTCTTCTTCACATACTGAATATATATTTATCTATGCAAGACCAAGTGTCACTTGATGTATTATGTATTCGTATTAATTACATATTAAATGTTAGTCTTTCTATGTAATATTTTATGTCTTGTACCTTGATTTTATATTCCATTAATTTCACAATATTATAACATCAGTCTGTAATAGAATTTATTAAAGTAATATTTATCACTATCAACAAGAATTGAATGAATTTAATATAAATGTTCATATAGACTTCATTTTCTTAATGAAACTTGAAAGAGATATCTTGATTTTTATGTCTTTTTTTGTGAAATTAAACAAATGTTTTGTATCTAATGCGTTGAAATTAAATAACCTTCAAACATAATACTATAATAACATATCAACAATACGCTTTTACGTTTGTGATAACTATATCTTCATATCATCGTTTGTAAAACTGTGATATGCTTTATCATATATGATCATTTGTAGCGACTATTTACACCTTTATGATGAGCAGCTGTGCAATTCGAAGTGCTACTAAATATTATCATTTTGTCGCAGTGTAAATAATTATGTATACAGTTTACTGACAATATTAGGCATATTTCCTTGATATTTATTAATATTCTAAACTGATTTGGACGCATTTGAATACGCTAATATATATATACAGTGTTATCATATGGATAGGATATACAAAGATAAATTGAAACTGTGTTTATTTCTTACAAATGAGAATTCAATTCTTAAAAACAATTGAATAGATAGTCCACTTTTTATATGTAAAATACATGTTGATACCCCGCATACAGTCGACATTATTACCTTAGATAATAACGAGAAGATTTTATTCATTATATAAAACAAACATACCAGTTTATTTCTTTATTTTAGATAGATGCTCTAGCAACATGCTACCAAGAAAACATTGCAAAACTATATTTGCTATTGCATTTAATATAAGCATTTTTTCTTTGATCATGACAATTGCATTAGTTATTTTGTGGCATACTAAATTAAAACCATTTCGAGATTATGCTGTAGTTATTGATGCTGGTTCATCTCATTCAAAAATTTTTGTTTATTCGTAAATATTTATTTTTTTAATATTCGCTATTCAATCACTATATTATAGATGGCCTACAGATAAATCAGGCGGACTTGGAACAACATCACGAATTAAACAAGTTAAATCATGTTCTGTCACTCATGAACCTATTACAACAATTGTAAATGCAACACAAGATAATGTTAAAAACTATTTTGATTCAGCTATGACTACTTGTATCAGCAGTATTCCATCAACACGAAAAAGTCGAGCATTAATCTTTCTTGGTATAGTCAATCTCGTATTTCACTTTCTCTGTCATACAAGTATTCTAATTTTTGTTAGGAGCAACAGCTGGTCTTCGTTTATTAAATATCACAGATCCAGCATATATTACTCGTTTATTGAATAGTACTCGTGCATATTTTAGTACTCTTAAACTTCGATTTCGTGATCCTATAAATCAAGTACGTATCATAAGTGGTAGCGAAGAAGGTTTGTCTGGATGGATATCAACAAATATTCTACTAAAAGAACTGTTTAATAAAAGCAAACCATTAGACACCTTTGGTGTCCTGGATATGGGTGGTATGTATTAAATATATGTATTGATATGAATGGTTATTTTTATATATATAAAGGTGCTAGTACTCAATTAAGTTTTATAGCTCCTAAGGCAACTAAAGAGCGATATCGAATGAATCTATTTGATAGAAACTATGATGTATATTCACATTCATATTTATGTTATGGGCAAGACCAAGCACGTCTAGTTTATCAAGGAAAATTAATAGAACAAGCTAATGGATCTGTGTCTATACATGATCCATGTTTACAACGTGATTATATTGAAAATAAGACTTATAATGATATATTCAGTACAGCTTGTGCTCATGGACAAAATGAATCTTCTGTATATTTTAATACATCATCAATATTTTCATTTATGTATGGCAATTTAAATTATATACGTTAATAAGATAATTTTTCTTTGATTTTAGAGGTACTGGTGATTATAAAGAATGTAAAAGAATTATGAAAGAACGTTTTAATAATTCATCATGTTCTTCATCAACTTGTAGTTTCAATAATGTCTATCAACCAGTACCTATTTCTTCATCTATAAAATTTATCGCTATGGCAGCATGGTACTCGACATTTAGTAGATTAGCTCCAAATGTAGCTATAAAACCTAATCACGATGGTAATTATAATTTTACTTCTATTAAGTTAGCAGATATCAAACATGCTATCAAAGCAATATGTAAACAATCATGGTCACATGTACATAAACCAGATAAACACAGACCATGTAAATAAAAAAAATCTTGGCACCTATTTAAGCGCTATAAATACAGAAATATATTAGTAAAAAATTTGATTGAACAATTTATATATATGGAAGTGTTGCATAGTTAACTTTAGATCGTCGATCCTACATGTTTAGGAAATGTTTGTCGGAAGATCGACATACACCGATTGAGATAAATTTCCACAGATTTAATATATACAAAAAGGTGTCAAAAAGTAAAAAGAAAATCAAATATATGTGATGCATAGGAATGAAACAATTCAAGCGTACGTAACGTATGTAGAGAGAAACGAGTAAGAGAGAACGAACAAAATATAACGACTTGTCAATCATTATTTTTTACTTATCTAATTTGTTGTTTTCTTACCCATAAAATCAGTATATACTTAGCATTTATATATTTTTACTTTGCGCTTAGATAGGTGCCAAAATCCTTAATTAAATTTGTACAAAAATTTATTTTTATTTATATATATAGTTTTATGTTTTAATTCGATGCACGATTGGACACTGTTTCAATATGGTTATCATATGACTGATGAGAATTTAAAAAATCTTCAAATTATTAAAACAATTCATTCAAATGAAATTGGCTGGACATTAGGTTATATGATAAATCAAACAAATCATTTGGATCCCAAATATCGGCCAACACGTTTATTAACAAAAAAAGGATTTCATGGTTTATTAGTTTCATGTATTTTATTGTTGATTATTAGTTTGATCATAACGGTAACTATCATTTATTCCTATAGGAAACATCACAAACAAGTAAAAAAATTTCGAAAAAGTGAAATATTTAGTTTTTATAACGATAAAAAATAAATTTGATAGTAATGTTTTCATTTAATCGTTGTTTACTTGTACATTTACTACTCATTTCTTCATAAAAAAAAATATAAATTTCGTTTGCATATTTGCGTACACCTTTGTGTCAATTACAGCTCAAATTTCGATTTTACATAAGAGTGTATCACATCTTTTACTTATGCATGTATTAAGTTTCTGATACATATCCATGTGAAAGAAAAATAAGGCAACAAATCAGATTAGAAATCGATTTTAATCCTTTTCGACTTGATTTTTATGTCATTTTTTTACATCAGTATTATGAATCATTCCGTATTTATTTTTACGAATAAAATTGTCAAACCAATGATTTTTTGTATGTACTTCTTAATATTTTATTAAATTGAATTTTTTAAATCGAAAGAAGTATCTGATATTTTTCAAAAACAACATATAAATAATTTTAAAATTTTATTACAATTATGTCTATGTAAAAGTTGCCGTATCGAATTATAATAAGAAAATCACAGTCGGCGTCACATGTATCCGTACAAATATATATATGAATAAGCAAAAAACTATAAATCAGTCATTGTTTTTATATTTGGTCAACCATAGGCGTTAATAAAATGTCATTGACAAGAACGTATGACTGTATTACTCTCATCATTTCAATTATATATATTATTTTCAAGTAGAAAACGAAAGAAAATATTTCACCTTCGCTGGGTACTCTAAAATAAAGTTAAGAAAGCGGAACCGACTCATGATGTATAAAACGATACGACTAATTAAAAATATAATACTTGTTTTTCACTGAAGTATATTCATCACTTGTTTATCTTTTATATGGGAACATTAGCATTTTGTCTCATAATTTATACGTCATTGTAATGTAAGTAAGTTTCAAACACTTATTTTGTTAAACAATTTTCTATAAATTATATTCACCTATATAAGTAGTAAAATTATTACCAATCTAATGAATACTATAGTAAAGAAAAATAAATAAATCTTTTTATATATAGAACATTATTTTGGAATATATAATCTTTTTAATAAAAGAAACAAACATTTTATTTCTTTTTCTCATCAATAGGAACAGGGCAGCGGACATAAATTGTTTTCAACATTTTCAATAGTGTACAAATAGTTGTTTGGATGATGAAAGAAAGATTGAAGTGTCAATATTATTTTCGCCTGCTGCTTATATTTTGATGAAAAGCAAATCAAAGATGGCATTTATCAGAAGTGCACGTTTTCAATATGTCAAAAAATACTGCGTGGTAAAAGGAAAGACAAATTGACGAAGTTTAATGGTACTAAACTTCTTTTATTTATAAAATAAATTATTTTTTACTTAATGCACCAAAGCATCTAGTTTCTAAGATGCCTTTCAGCTTAAATATTGCTTTGACATTCAATACATCTAACATTACATATCCATGGATATTTTTATTATGGCATATAGACATTTTTTTAAAAATATAATCATATATTGAATAAATATGCAGTAAATCATAATGAAAATAAGTTTTATACAAGATCGAAAATCATGAAATATTTTTTAATTTCAGATTAATACTAGGCTAGTCTCAGTATGGTTCGGTGGTATCATATAGCATTAGTCTTAGCAACGGTTGTTGGATTTTTATCACTTGCTGCTGTTATTACAATGATTGTACTTTGGTTTATTAAACTAACACCATTTCGAGATTATGCTGTAGTTATTGATGCTGGTTCATCTCATTCAACAATTTTCGTTTATACGTAAATATTTATTTTTCTTAT